CCCCAAGCCCCCGCCCACCCCCAGCCCACGCCTGCCCAGCTCACACCCGATGTCAACTGCCTGCTCAGGCCCCCGAGTCCCCCCTGGAGTTCTGCCCCGTCCAGCTGTCTGTCTGGCCATCTGCCTGACCACTCGGCCTCCGCTCCTGGGACCGCCGGACTCTGACTGTGAGCGCCGGGAGGGCAGGGCCGGGCTGGGACCGGGGAGCCGAGAGGGTGCTGCCTGGCAGGCGGGGAAGCCCCAGCTCAGCCTTCAGAGGCCGGAAGGCCGTGTCTGCCCGCAGGCTCCCCAGCGGGGCCGAGGGGAGGCGGTGTGGACCCTCCGGAGTCACTCCCTGCTGGGGCTGCCCTTGCTGGTCCCACAGCTGCCAGCCCGGCCGGGCGGTCCTGCAGTGGACGGGGCGGGTGGACAGGGTGGGTGGGGGCCCAGGGCGGCGGGCGGCGGGGCCTGGCTCCTCCGCTATCTCCCTAGCTGGGCTCCAGCTGGTGTTGACACAGCAAACATGCGGCGGCTCCCATTCGCCGGGCGGCGTGGGCAAACACAGGAGGCGGCACAAAGGCCACGCGTGACCAGCCTCCCAACACACTGCGAGGCCCAGAGCAGGGCGGGGAGGGGTGGGGGGGCCCAGAGAGGGGGGGGCGGTGAGGCCCAGGCAGGGAGTGGGGAGCGGGAGTGGGAGCGAGAGGGGGGTGGGGCGCGGCCCGGCGAGCTGTCCAGAGGGGCGGCTGGCGTGGGTCCGCACAGCCCGGGTGGGGAGCAGGGGGGCGAGGCCCAGAGCGGGCGGGGGGGGGGGGCGCGGCCCGGCGAGCTGTCCAGAGGGGCGGCTGGCGGGGGTCTGCACAGCCCGGGTGGGCCTGCACGCTGGTGGGGCTCCCTGTGACCCCCACGAGCACCCCCCTGCACCGGGGTCTCCGAGGCCCGGGCGGGAGCTCTGGTGACAGACGGTGAGGCTCTGCGTGCCCCGCACAGGAAGGGAAACCGAGGCCCGGGCGGAGTGGGTGCGGCACAACCTGGGTGAGCCCCCAGTTCCTGGCGTCTTCTCCTCCGAGCGGGTCCCGGCACCCTGTCCGCCGTCCGGAGGGTCAGGCATGGCCAGGGGTTCTTCCGGGGGCAGACAAAGTCAGAACCGGGAGGACTGTGGTCCGAGGCCAATGTCAGACTCCCAGGAACAGCGTCGGCAAAGCCAGGCCGCAGACAGTCCTCCGTCACCACACGCGTGTGCAGGCAGGCAGGCTGACATGCAGGCTGACACGCCTTGGGCCCTCTCCCTCCCTCACTCTCCTCTCCCTGGCCAGATCTCAAGCACCCCTTTCCATCCCCCTCCTCCCCGCCACCATCCACGGCTCCCACCGGGCTCTCCCTGAGCGGATCTGTCCCACCCACCGGGCACAGGGCCGGGAGACAGAGTCTGAGGGCGGACAGGCCCCGGACGAGCAGGCCCCTCCTCCCAGAAACCCCAGGGCCCATGGCTGTGCGAGCACAGCGCCCGGGGCTGGCCGCCCCCTCCCCGCCCCCGCCCCCGCCCCCAGGCTGGGTCTGTGCCCTGTGCCCTCCCACCAGCCGTGGGCTCCCTGCTCCCCAAGTGTGGCTGCCTAGGGGAGGCTGCTGGCTGTGTATTTGCACCCACAGGAATGGGGCAGAGGGCGCCTGGCTGCCGGGGGGCCGCCTGCAGGAGGGCGGAGCCAGGCTGACAGGTCAGCTCCTCCCAGACGCAGGTGTGAGCCCTGCCCCGCCTCTGTCCCCTCCAGCCCCCTCCCACGCGGGGGACACGGCGATCTACAGGCCACACTGCGGGGTCCCTCTGCTCCCCGGCTGCGGGGCTCAAGCTGCTGCCTGTCCCTCCCTCCGCCCCTAGGACAATTCCTCCGCCTTCCTGGAAGGCCAGCTCAGACCCCACCCCTCCGGGCCGCTCCTCAGGCCTGCCCTCCCGTGTCCCCTGCTTGGCCCAGTGTCTCCTTGTCGTCCGGGCCCTGGAGGACAGAGGTGAGCCGGGCACCTGCCCGTCGTACCTCAGATACACCCCCCCCCCCCCGGTCTCCCCCACGCAGGAGGATTGCAGAACAAAGGGCCAGACACTATTAAGATCCAATTAAATCTCTCTCCGCGGATCCTAAACTAGGCTGGTCTGTCCCTGTGGCACCTGCAGGCCCTCTCCTCTGCCGCCCAGCACCTGCCCCCGCCCAGCACCTGCCCCCGCCCAGCACCTGCCCCCGCCCAGCACCTGCCCCCGCCCAGCACCTGGCCCCGCCCAGCACCTGCCCCCATGCTGGCGGGGACCCTGGGACGGGGACAGAGCCCCCTCAGCGCACACTCCTCTGGGTAGGGGGTCCAGTGTCTCCCCCATCTCCTCCAAGCTCAGCGCTCGCTCCTGCACTGGCTGACCCCTCACCCATGTCCTAGACCCCCCCCTCGGTGTGGGGGGGTGCAGGCCCACGGCTCCCAGCTGCTCCTGCCACCCTCTTCAGCCCGCCACCCTCTCGGGGTCCCCAGGACCCTCGGGTGGGTGGAGAGTGGACGGCAGTTCCCCTCCCTCCTGCACGGGTGCGGCCACCTCCTCCCAGGAGCTGGCTCCCTCCAGCCCCGACCTGGGGGTCGCCTAGCACCTCGTGCTGGGGTTTCTCCTGAGCACCCCCCCCCCCCCAGTCCCTCCTGGCTCACTGCTGGCCTCTCCCTGCTGGGGTGGCCCTGGGGTCCCACACCACAGGCACTCACCGGGCCGTTCCCTCGTCCCGCCCCCCACCCCCGTCCCGGCGGTGGCACCTCGCCGGAGGGCAGCGTCTGGGCGAGGGGAGATAATTAGCCGAAAACACCGCAATCAGGAGAGGAGCTGCCGCCCGGCGCCCACACACAAGCCTAATGGGTGCCCAGTGCCGCCTCCTGTCTCCGGCGGGAAAGGGAAGGTCAGATCTCTTGATGCCGGGAATGGAGGGCGCGTGGCAGACCCGGTCAGCCCCGCAGACGCACCTTTTAATTGCCCGGAGGCGGGGGGCGGAGGCAGAATCCCCGCCTGTCTGTCCCCCGTCCCCGTGCCTCTCAGCGAGAACCCAGAGCCGCAGCCCGCTAACGCTTAGGAGGCTCCCGCTGGGTGACAGCACAGCCCTCGTCCTCGCCATCCGCTCGTCCACCCCGCCATGAGGCACCGGGGGCCGCCAGCTGCCCAATGCCCAGCTTGCCGCCGCCTCCAGGCAGCCCCGAGCTCACGACTGGCCCTCGGGCTGCAGGGACCGTCCTGCTGGGGCCGCCCGCCGGCCTGTCTGCCCCTCTGTCCAGTGGATGGGGGGCGGGGGCACTGCCCGCAGGGACAGCTGGCAGCATTTGGAGACATTTTTGGCTGTTGCCTCCGGGGGCGTGGCATACGGCTGGCACCTATGGGATGACGCCTACCTCCTACCGGGCACCGAGCAGCCGCACACAGACGTACGGGCCCCAATGCCGGCGACACCAACGCTGGGACCCTGCGAGGGGCAGCCTGGCACAGAGCGCGCGGGGGCGAGCACGGACCGCCCTGTCCTGGCCCGCTCACCCCGCCCCTCGGAGAGCCCGGCCCGGAGCCGTTCCTGAGCAGCCCCCGCCCGCTGCCGGCAGAGCCTCCGTTAACTGGGTTAAGTGGCCATTAGCGCAGAAGCAGGGCGCTGGGTGCGGAAGGGTTTTTAATTTCTCTCTAAATGATGCTCGCTCCCCGGAGAGGCCGCTGGCGGGGGGAAGGCTGCCCGAGGAGCCCCCGGGGCCCGTCCGCCGGGGCCGTGGGGGTGCCGGGAGGGGGTGCCCGGGGCCTTGTCTCCGTGGGTGGTTCCGGGAACCGGGAGACAGAGGAAGGAGAGGGGCTGGGCCCACGGTCACCGGGTCATCACAGGAGAGACCAGAACCCGGCTCCCCCTGGACAGCAGGTGCCACGTGGCCACTGGTGGTGCCACAGAGGAGGGCAGAGAAGGGGGGAGCGTGGGGGCGGGGGCTGGAGCTAGCTCCCCCCACCCCGATCTGGGGGGGTCGCTCTAGCACCTCGTGCTGGGGTTTCTCCTGAGCACCCCCCCCCCCCCCAGGTCCCTCCTGGCTCACTTGCTGGCCTCTCCCAGTCTGAGCCCAGCTGCCCGGATCTCACACCTGCTTTTGCTGGGAGACCGGGGCCAGTGGCTCGCCAGTCCTCAGAGGTAGACTGGGGCCGGGAGGAGAAGGCCGTGGCTGGTGGGAGGGTGCAGGCGATCTGCCACGTCCTAGCTCACCGCAGGCGGGCATGTGCAGGCCCGCAGGCAGAGGCCGGAATCACCGGAAGGAACTCATCCTGCCATTTCGGGGGAACGTCCCCGGCTCTGAACCCACACAGAGCCGTCCCTCGACCAGGAACTGAACCCATGACCCTTCAGTGCGCAGGCCAAACGCTCTAACCACTGAGCAACACCAGCCAGGGCTGTGCGTCCCTCCTTCTGATTGGACTGGTCTCTGACACAGGCGGGGCGGCTGCAGTTGTGCCTCTGCTCCAGGGGGTGGGGGCCCCAGCCAGCTCTCTCACCTCACAGAGCCGCTGTGCTCGGAGTCTAGAGGACAGGCCGAGGCCCAGAGGGAGGCGGGGGACCAGGCGGAGCTGTGGGCAAGCAGAGGCCCGCACGCCTGCGTCACGTGGCCACAGCCTGCCCCGCGGGGCCCTCAGGTTCCCCTCTCGGCCTCCCCATCGGGCCGGCCGCCAGCCTCCAGGCACGGACAGGCCACCACCTGCGGGTGCTGCCCTGGGACGCTGACCACTCAGCAGAGCGAGGGAGGACCACAGGAGGCAGAGGCCCCTCCATCACACCCTCACAGGGTCCCCCAGACCCAGGTCACCCGCGTGCAGCCTCCCCCAGATCACACCGCCCGCTCCCGCCTCAGCCGCCACGCCCTGCGGCCCGGCCCAGCCCGGCCCGGCCCTGCCCGAGGCGGCCGGCCTGCGTCCGGGGCGCTGGGAGGGGAGGGCGGCGCCCTCAGGGGCAGGGCCGCCCGCCGCCCGCCCTGCCCTCGCCGGCTCCTACCTTCAGGGCCTGCACCTTCCGGGCCAGCAGCCCCTCGATGTCGCCGGCCACCTTCTCCACCAGCGCCCGCGGCTCGTTCTCCTGCACGGCGAACAGGTTCCGGTTGTCCCTGTAGATCTGGGGGAAGCAGAGCGGGTGAGGCCGGGTCCCGCCGTCCCAGGCGCCCCCTCTCCCGCCCCCCGCCCCCCGGCTTGGCCGCGGAGACAGAGCGCCGGGTCCGGGAGGGCCCAGTGGCTCTGGGACCTGGAGGAAGGACACAGCCCCGGCCGCAGGGGCACTGGCTGTGGTTGTCGCCCGGGAACTCGGGGTGAATTCGGGGTTCCTCCCCCGGGGCCGGGGGCAGCACCCCTGCCGGCCGCGAGGGGAGAGCGGCGAGGGGGAGGGTGGGCAGGAGAGGAGTCATGAAGGGGGGCAATAGCACACACAGCTCACCACACACCGACACAGACGCCCTCACCCTCACGCGTGTACACATACCACACACCGACACAGACGCCCTCACCCTCACGCGTGTACACACACCACACACCGACACAGACGCCCTCCCGCTCACACACCACACACCGACACAGACACCCTCACCCTCACACACCACACACCGACACAGACGCCCTCACCCTCACGCGTGTACACATACCACACACCGACACAGACACCCTCACCCTCACGCGTGTACACATACCACACACCGACACAGATGCCCTCACCCTCACGCGTGTACACACACCGCACACCGACACAGACACCCTCACGCTCACGCGTGTACACACACCACACACCGACACAGACGCCCTCACCCTCACGCGTGTACACACACCACACACCGACACAGACGCCCTCACCCTCACGCGTGTACACACACCACACACCGACACAGACACCCTCACCCTCACGCGTGTACACATACCGCACACCGACACAGACGCCCTCACCCTCACGCGTGTACACACACCACACACCGACACAGACACCCTCACGCGTGTACACACACCGCACACCGACAGACGCCCTCACCCTCACGCGTGTACACATACCGCACACCGACACAGACGCCCTCACCCTCACGCGTGTACACACACCACACACCGACACAGACACCCTCACGCGTGTACACACACCGCACACCGACACAGACGCCCTCACCCTCACGCGTGTACACACACTGCACACCGACACAGACGCCCTCACCCTCACGCGTGTACACATACCGCACACCGACACAGACGCCCTCACGCTCACGCGTGTACACACACCGCACACCCACGGGCACCGCACGCCGCCGCCCTCCCCACTGGCTCTGGCAGCTGTACCCCTTTTTGCTGGCGCCGCCCAGGGCGTCTGCAGAAATGGCAGCGGGAGCTCTGGGTGCCCCAGGGGTCCTCTGTCATTCAGGGCACGGAGAGTGGGGGCGGGGACCAGGGAAGGGGGGGGCGAGTCTGCCTCTCCTTCTCCCTTAGGGGGCATGCACACGGGCATGCAACTCTGACAGCCCGCATCTGCGTGAGCGAGCGTGTGCCACGGCTCAGCACACATCCACCTGTGCCGTGCTGCGTGCTGGTGTGTGTGTGTGTGTGTGTGTGTCAGAGCCTGGGGCTCGCAGTCAGAGAAGCAGATCCGTGGGCATTTCTGTTCGAGTGGAGGCCTGTGTGTGTGTGTGCGTGCACGTGTGTGTGCACTGGACACCCCTGCAAACGCCTGGGCCTGACTGGGTCCAGGTGTCCATCCAGGGGACCGGGCAGGTCCTGCCTCAGGCTGTGCAGAGGGGGGTGTGAGAGACCGAGAGGGGCGAGGAGGAGGGGACAGGAGGCGGGAGAGGCTGCAGGGAGAGACAGGCAGGCAGGCGCAGATAAGGTCGGAGAGTGGGAGAGGAGGGGAGATAAGGCCTGGGCATCTGACAGGGCGGGCGGAGGGGGGCTGGCGCCTCCAGGCCCCTGCCCAGCAGCGCCCGGCAGCCCACGGGTTAACGCTCCGCGCTGAGCAGCTCCCGCTCCCTCCTCCACCCCGTCCCTCCCGTCCCTCCGGCTGCTCTTTCCTTTGTCCTTCTCGGAGAACAAAATAATCTGCGGGAAGTTGCTCCTTCCCACAGAGCAGGGCACTCGAGGGCGACCTGCGGGGCCGGATAAAGAGCCGGGAGTTCCAGGGGACACAGGCCAGGCTGCCCCTGCCCCTGGCCGAGCCGTGGACAGGGGTCCGCATGGCGGCAGAGGTCAGGGAGGGGTGAGGGCCCGGGAGCTCTGGGGATGCGGGGAGCTGGAGCCAGAGCCCACGGCTGGGAAACAGGCTGAGAAGCAGGCGAGGGCGGACCAAGGACAACTCCTCCCATGCCCCCTGCCCCTCCCCCCGGGTTTCAGGAGCCAAACACACCCCTTTCCGGACCCCCAGTCCAGCCACACTGCCCAAGCCTGCGGAGCACACCCAGCACTCTGTGCCAGCAGGGGGCGCAGCTGCCTGGCGGCTCCGGGCACCGGATAGATGCCCCGTCAAGGTCATTCCCAGGTGCCCCTATCCCAGGGGTCCAGCCCAGACTGAGGCTGGGCCCCGTGGCCTGCGGGCACCTCCCGGGGACCAGTGTCCCTCGCAGCCTGGCCCGGTGACCGGGCAGGGCCAGGGCGCCGCCAAGAGAGCGGGTCTCCAGGCGGCAGGGTCACCCCCCACCGCCCAACAGACGGCAGGAGGGCTGGAGGCAGGGGACCTGCCGAGAGGGGCCCCCCCCTCCCTGAGCCTCTGTCCGCGCCAGAGCCCCCCCCGCCCCCAGCAGGCGCCGCACCGCGGTCTCCGCGGCTGCTGTTCCTGCACCAGGACCCTGCAGGGGGACCCGGCCCCTTCCCGCACCCTCTCCGGCTACACCTGCACTCGAAGCCACCGCTCCACTCCTGGGCCCACAGCCTCGGTCTCCGGGGTCTGTCCCCCCTCCTCCCCGGCCTGGCTGGGCAGTCCCTCCCGAGCCATCTTGTCCGTGTCTCCGACACCTCGGCCTGTGTCCTGGGGTGACGACAGGGAGCCAGACACAGGGGCGCCACAGCCCCTGCGCGGTCTCTCCCAGCACCGGGTCTGCGTGCGTGCCCCTCGGCCAACGCCTGCGCCCAGGCCCAGGTCCAGGAGCAGAGTCGGGCCGCTGGTCCCGGTCTGAGGCCTCCAGCCTGGCCTGCAGCTCAGCTAGCGCTGGGGGCTGGGCTGCACCTGCCAGGCTTCCTTCCCGTCCATTCGGCCTAAGAACCTTCTTCCCGTGGTGCCTCCTGCGTCCCCAGCCCCCGAGATTCCTCCTGCCGCCCCTCAGCTGACGCTGCCTCTGCTCCCTTCACCTCCCCCTGCCCATCCCACCCCTCCCTGGGCCAAGGGTGGGGATGGAGCCAGGCGTTGCTGGGGCGGTGAGGGCACAGTTCTAGAATGCGGGGGCTGCTCCGGCCTGCCTCCCCGTCCCAATGAGCCCTGGGCTGCAAGAGACCCCTTCCTTCAGCCCCAGGCGCTCAAACCTCTCGCCATCACTCTCCAGCCCTGCTCCCGTGGCCCTGCCCGGGGGCCTGGAGCTGAGACCGCAGACACAGCCCAGCAGATGGCCCCCGGGAGGTGCCGTCCACCCGCAGGCCCGGCGGGGAGCGGGGGCTCAGGACAGACTCCGGGCGCACGGTGCAGGGCTCAGCACCGCAGCGAGGGCGCATGCCTGCGGTGTCCTTGGCCGAGGGCTCGCTGGAAAAACCCCACGGCCGCAGCGCCTGCACGTCCCCCCCCCCCCCCCAAGGCCGCCGGGCCAGAGCGAGACGGGGTGCAGGTCCACAGGTGGCTGTGGCTCCGCTCCAGCCATGATAGGGAGGGAGGGACGGGCGGCACCCCACCCCACAGAGGTGATGGATGGCAGGGGGCAGGCCGTCTGGAGCCAGGCGGGCACAGGGGGAGGGCAGGAGGCAGTGGCATAGGAGCGTGCGGGCTAAGCGGGCGGTTTGGAGGGTCTGAGGGGGCCCGTGGCAGGCGGGCGGCCGTCCTGGGAGGGGGAGGGGAGGCCCGGCAGAACCAGCCTGAGCGACTAACCAGCCGCCCAGCCCCGTGAGCGAGACAGGCACGCGGCGGCTCCTCCGCAGCCAAGGTGAACGGCCCTAATCTCCGGAAAATTAAATCAGAGAGAAAATGGAACGAGGAGGATTTGACGCAGGCCGGGCCCTGCTGCCGCTATCTGCTCAGAGGCCCGACTCCGCTGGGGGCTCCGCTGGGGGCTCCAGCGTCCCGGACCCTCCCCGCTGCCCAGGGTGCCAGGCAGGGTCCAGGCAGGTGGGGGGAGCTGGGCCCCACGATCGGGCGCCTGGGGGTTTCCCGTTCGCAGCCCCCTCTGGCCACTTCCTGCTGTCGGGTCCCTGGTCTCGAAAGCAGCAGCTTCGGGCCTCCAACCGCCCGGCCCTCGTGCCAACAGGTCGAGAGAGACGCAGCGAGTGGCCAGCGAGGGGCTGGCCTCCCTGGCCGGGCTACGGGCAGGCGCCGGAGCCACAGGCTGGGCTGGAGGCGGGGCAGCTGCCGGAATGGGCGGCCCTGTGTCGGGGCCGGGGGAAGCTTGGGTGGAAGACAGGGTGCTCGTGGTGGTTCAGGGACCCTGAGTGGGGCCAGCAGGGAGGAGGGGTGCTCGGGGACCCCAGCCCGTCAGGGCCAAGCCCCTGCCCCCGCCCTGCCAAGCTGTCCCGCCTCGTGCCTTTGGGGGAACGTCTGGGTTAATCGCCCTTGGAGACCACAGGGCTGACCGATGGGGCAGCGGGGACGGGGGACCCCCTCTGAGGACACGCAGGGCAGAGCCGACCAGCCCTGAGCCCGCAGCCCAGCTTCTGCCGGGACTGAGGGGGCCCCCCACAGGTGGACCCTGTGGCTGCGAGCTCCCTGGTGCGCGGTGGCCGCCCTGGCCTTCCGGTGCGGACTCAGAGCAGGAGCAGGGCAAGGGCAGGGGCAGGGCCGGAGCAGGGAAATCGGGGTGAAGGTGCCGGGGGGGGGGCACAGGAATGGGGGGGCAGAAAGGAAGCTGAGGGGAACGGAGGCTGATGCCAGGGGTGAGTTGTGGGGGTTCTCGGAGGAGGAGGGTGTGGCCTCGATCACAGACGAGAAGGCCCGGTGGCTCCGTGGGCCCTGGGCGCCCAACAGGC